GGGTGGAACGACAGAAAAAGATCGTTTTAATTCTGTGTTGCTCTTTCCTTCACCAAGATCAAAGATTATTGGAAAAAAAAGCATAATTAATTTTCTTGGCTTGAACGTTGGACAGCTATCATGAAAAAAATATGGTAAATTGTATTGAAATATGGGTACTGTATGATACAGGGTGTGCTGTACAATATTTGGTAAATTGTATGATATGTGGGTACTGTACGATATATTCAATATATCATACATTACCCATACACTATACAATTTACCATATATTGTACAGTATACCTTGCATCATACATTTACTGTACAATATATGGTAAATTGTATGGTATATGGGTACTGTATGATATACTGTATGATATAGGGTATATTGTACAATATGGTAAATCACATGGTAAATGGGTACTGTATGATACAGGGGATACTGTGTACAGTATATGGTAAATCACATGGTATATGGGTACTGTCTGATATATTGTATGATACAGGGTATACTGTACAATAAATGGTAAATTGGATGGTAAATGGGTACTGTATGATATATTCAATGTATGATACAGTCTATTCAATATATCATACAGTATATCATGCAGTGCCCATATACCATACAATTTACCATGTATTGTACAGTATACCCTGTATCATACTGTACAATATATGGTAAATTGTATGGTATTTGGGTACTGTATGATACAGGGTATAATGTACAATATATGGTAAATTGTAAATGGTAAATGGTACTGAACTTATAGAGCGCCTTTCAAGTCCCTCCGGACCCCAAAGCGCTTTACACTAACAGACATTCACCCATTCACACTCACATTCACACACTGATGATGGCAAACTACACTGTAGCCACAGCTGCCCTGGGGCACACTGACAGAGGTGATTGTATGGTAAATGGGAACTGTATGATATACTGTATGATATGGGGTATATTGTACAATATGGTAAATTGTATGGTATATAGGTACTGTATGATACAGGGTGTACTGTACAGTATATGGTAAATTTTATGATAAATGGGTACTGTATGATATATTTGATACAGGGTGTACTGTACAGTATATGGTACATTTTATGTTATACTGTATGATATATTTGATACAGAGTATACAGTGTGTGTGGTATGGCGCAGAATGTAACAGTCAAGCACAAAAATGTATTTTTGATTTACTAAACAATTTTTCTGTTTCATTGAATTTCTCTATTTTACCTGCGGAGAGCAGCAAAAGGCTGGGCTGAGTGTAAGACGCTTCATGATGCATCGAGGAAGAAAGTGAAGACGTCACTTTCAACCAGCTGTGTTATGGCAAGCAAGGTTATCATATAATAATACTTTTAAATTCATATTCAAATTCTTCGTATCAAAACCCACATTTCACCTATTTATAATACCACATGTTTAACTATCCATTATCAACTTAAAAAATTACATTCCCCTTGTTACCAGCCATAAGTTGTTTTATATGTTTTTAAAACTAATATATCAACTTGTAAACATTTAATCAATCATGCCCAGTATTCATACCATAATTGGTAAAATGCAGCTGTCAATAACTGGAATCCTAATGAGCAAACATAAATAAATATACATACTATATCATGAAAAATGCTCTGTTCTGTAGAAAAGTTTTAAACAATAAGCATCTTACCTGTTGATGACAGCTTTTGATAAATGTATCACAGTTTGTTTTAACACAGTTATCTAAACCTTTACATCATTATCACAGGTATGTCACAGAATATTACAAATATCATGTTAAAATTGACCCAGGCTACCCCTAGCTGCTGTTATAACAGAACTATATGAAAACAATATTACATCGTGGAACTGAAGGGGATGTAAAGTTTAAACATATTATTTATTTTTCAGAAATGTTGATTTTTCATAAATGTCTCTTAATTTGCCCTATTTGGACTAACATTTGAGATGTTTGTTGTTGATTGTGGATTTTAAAAAAATAACTTGTAGATTTCTGAAATTTTCTTCAGTACAGGGCAGAGTTCACTGGTCACTTTTAGGTTAATTAAAATGTTATATTCTGATATAATCTCAATTAAAAATGCATGCGTATTATGTTTCACTAGAATTAACTGCACTTATCTTTCATTTTAATTCTGGCTTGGGAAACCATTCAGCCCAGGAAGGGTACTGGCATCGTGGATGATTATGTGTTACAACGACCTGCCATACCCTCCGCCACTAATCACACAACATTAACAGAAACAGTCGAACACAGGCTAACCTATGGGATAGACACTTGTCTTTGATTTTTCATACGTTTCGAATTGCAAATCTGAAAAAGAAAGCACAAAATTCAGACACTGTGCAAATCGGTAAACGGCTCGACCGACGCTCACGGTCATCTCGTGCTCTTCGTGCACGCGGCTGGCAGGTTAATTCGGCCAGGAAGCGAGGTCTTTGATTGAAAACTCTCATCTCGGCTAGCGTCAGGCTAGCCAGCCAGCTAGCTAGCGGCTAACGTCGCTAACAGTAGTTAGCTAGCTAGCGAGCTGTAGTAAGTGGCGTCATGGAGGAGCTGGTTGTGGAAGTAAGAGGGACGAGTGGAGCCTTTTATAAGGTGAGTTAATAACTTCTCATGTTTTTCACAGTTCCCTCTCTTTGTGCTGAAACGAACCCAGCTAACATAATAAAACTGACCGAGCTAGCTTAGTGAAATCTTCTGGGTTAGCGGGCCTCTTTGCCCAGCCTCCTCTGGGAGGTGGATGTTGTAAACGTGTAAACAAAACAACAACAGTGGTTTTTAATTTCATTTAAGGAGCAGCTGTGATAATGTTGCTGCAAACCCAGCGCAGTATTTCTCAGGTGAACACTGTGATGTTGATGTTTGGGGAAGAATCTGCTGCAGACTTTTTATTCTGCTTGCCTGTGTGCTGCTGGTTTAAATGCTGATTAAATAATGTGATTTGAAGGTACAAACCATAGACTGAGGAGTGTTTATATCAGTAACATGTTGCACTAAACGATGATCTTGAAGGATAAATCTGATGCATATAATACAGCCAGAAGAAAATATAATTTAGCAGTTTATGAGTGATGGAAAGTGGTTTAACTTTTTTGAATGTACTTCTACCGTCTTGAAAGACTGACTTAAACAAATCTTCAGAAGAGTTTTTTTAAAGCACCGTCCTGCAAGTTTAACTTGTTGCCCAGCCTCACTGATTCATTCACTCACATGATGGAGTTGAACAAAGAGTGATCATCCATTCATAGAAAACATGCAGATCTGTGGGACTGTTCAGAGACCAGATGTGGTGTCGCTCTGCCCTGCAGTTCTACCTTTAAAAATCACCTAATTGTTTTCATTCACTCACTAAAAATGATAAAAGTAAAGACTAAACTCACTAAACTACACACCAACTATAAAATCCAAAATCTCATATATCTAATTACTCAGTCCTGCTCTTGCAGTTTCTCCATCGCAACCGAAACTTTGACTTCTACGTCTTTTTATTTTCTTCCTCCTGTAGATTTTTTTGGGGAAAAGAGAAAGATGGTGGACTGTGTTTTTTTCCCATGAGATTACCGTGTTTCCTACTGTGTAGATTATTGACCATACGTCTGGTTTTACTTGGCCTATTGACACAAATTAAAAAGTGCTGGATAGTTTAAAGTTTTTACTTTTGACTCAAATTGTAACAGAGTCCCAGAGAGGCTGTGTCTTTCCAGCTACAGTGGTTTAAATCACTCGTGACAAACTATCCCACTGTCGAGCAGCAGGTTTTAAGGTCTCCTCATATACAGTATATATA